TGCAAACGAGAAAAAAGATATGACTTTTAGGGCCAAAAATGTCATTAACCATATCAATTATGACTTTTTTTTGTAACTATTTCTCGTTCTATGACTTATTTATCATTAAAACTACATAGATATGACTTTTCTGTAAAAAACTCTTAATTAATCTAGTTGTTGTAATTTGTTTTTTTTTTTTGCCATCTTCAAATTGAGTCGAGATGATGAGTCCAAATAACTTATTTCCCATAAAGAATTTCAGCTAATTTCCACATTCAAAAATTTAGTTAGAATGGTCATTTAAAACACTAATTAATTCTTTAAGATTAGGGAATGCGTCATGAAATGTCAAAATGTCCACGTAAAAAAAAAAAAAATTGGGAAGACTAATTAATCTCTTAAATCACTTACTGTATCTTCTTTATTCAATGTGAATACTAGTTAAAAAAAAATTGGAAGACTAACATTGGAAACTCGTTGAGTTGTGATATTATTTTCCACGTAATATTTTATAGGTGTAGAATCATGGGGAAGCTCAAGAGTTATATGACTCCTGGGTCTTTGTGCTTGAATATTTACGAGCCCTTTAGACTTAACAGTCTTTTAACTTTTTTACCTCTAGTATAAGATCTTCAACTCTACTTATTCTTTAAGATCTTCTCATTCTTTTTTTAGTGATCTTTCAATGGCTGAAGTTGAATATTCAGAGGAACCAATATTTAAAGTGAGGCTTCTTGTCGACAATGAGAAGAACAAGGTTGTCTTGGCTGAGGTTGATAAGGATTTCGTTGATGTTCTCTTTAGTTTTCTAACATTGCCAATGGGGACGGCTGTGAGATTACTAGAGAAATTTCAGCAGAATCAGAACAAGTCTCATCAAGCCCCTACCATTGGCTGCTTCAATAATCTCTACAAAAATATATGTTCAGGATATGAGCACGGATAATTTCTTGACAGAAGCTTGTAAGGAAATGCTTTTGTATCCGAGAAGCATGGAGGAGAAGCGATTCAATCATTTTAGCATAGACGACACTGAGCTACTTAAGTACTACATGTGCCCGAAATTAGGATCTAACTCTTCATGTTTTAGGGCATATAGTAACTTTTGTTCTTCGAGATGTAGTTATGGAGCGTTAATGGACAAAGAGTTTATACCTCTAGATAAGGAAGATGTTCATGATGAGGTGCTTGTAAGCGGAAAGACATTGCTTATTATAACCGACGATATGAAATTGCTTACATCAATGGGTCTCACCTTGAAGACACTTAGAGGACTAGGTTATAAATCTTGTGATGAGCTGCATGTAGATGTTTATTTGAAAGAGGTAACTACAATTTTTTTTTTTTTTTTACGTGCCATTACTTAGACAATGTTGTTCTCTCTGATTTATTCTATTCGAGGTGTTTGCACTGTTGGAATGCTTGTTTTATTCAGAGACTCCTTTAACGGATGTGTTCTTGAAGGAACTACGTTATAGAGATCTTGATCAGTTGCAGGATATTTTGGGATCACATAAAGTGGTAACTAATTCTTATTTTTTCATGCCATTATTTAGAAATCGTTTTCTCTGAGTATTTCAATTCCAGGGATTTCGTACCATGATAGAACGCGCTTTCGACTGCATGTTTGTTCAACAGAATATCTTGAAGGGACCGGAGGAGTCGGTTGGCATTACAAGGATGCTTAACATGCCAAGTCTACTCTCTGTCAATCTTTTCATTAGCAAACATGAAAAGAAGGTTCTATATGTTGAATGTGGAGAAGAATTTGTCGATCTTCTCTTTACTTTCTTGGCTATTCCTCTGAGGTCAGTATGGGAAATATCCGGAAGCAATGCGAAGAAGGGATGCATTGGTAACTTGTGTGATAGCTACAACAGCTTGAGCTTCAACAAAGAGACAACTTCATCAACTTCCAAATGTATGCTCCCTTGGTATTACAGTTGCCAAAGACAACTGCTTGACGTATGTTACGAGGTTTGTCTTACATCTTATTTATTCAGAAAAGGTTCTCTCATCTGTGATTTGAAACCGAGGGATCCAAGATGCGACGCTAGTGCTGATTCGACTACGCATTGTGGTGGGTTTGTGAAGAGAGGGACAATGTTTCTTATATCAGATGATCTTGTTATCACACCTATGACCTCATCCAAAGCCATTTTCTTGCTGAAGAAGATGAATGCGGACTTAGATGATATCGAAGAGCAAGTTATTAACATTACTAAAACAGAGGTATG